TATCTGAAGGTCATTTCTTCTGACTTTGGGTGACGTTTACACTTTGTTGTTTCTTACTTTGAAAAAAGTAAAATTCTTTAAAAAATAAAAGTTAAATAATATCGACGCTCCAATTTTCAGATCAGAAGGACGCCGCAGATTCTCTGAGACATTTACAAAGCTGTTTGGTTTACGTTCATCCATGTGGATTTACATTTACATAACCTCTCGTTAACAGAAATCACATTTAATAGATTAAAAGAAATAAACAGCTGAGTTTACAATTTTTAGATGTTTGTCTTAGCTCATAGTTTTAGTCGTGCAGTGTTTGTTGTGTCATATGTACTCATGGATATGCAAAGAGATCGTCTTTTATATTCGTTTCTGTCCACGTCTTTAAGGTTGAAATTGGTCTTAAAGTTATGAAGCTGTAGCAATGATGCAAAATATAAATGGTCGTTTAAGGATGCACTGATATGGAGCGCGGATAGCCTAGCGGGTGTGTCGCGCGCCCCATGTACTGGATGGAGTCTATAGTCCTCGTTGCAGCTGCTGTGGCTTCGAATCGCAGAGCTTATTTGAAAAACAGATGCAACAAAGTGATGAAAAAGCATCTATGTCAGAGTCGTCCATTGGCTAAATTGTCAGCAAAAGCACTAATTTAAAAAAAAAAGGTGCATCTCTATAATCAGAGAAAGTACAGATCGGTTTTAACATTTAATAGTATTAAATTATCTTAATTGGTTTTTCAAGCAATCAAACGAAAACACACATTGACATCATCATTAACATTTAAGGTGTTCAACTTGAAGCTGTCAGAAAAAAAGATGCTCACATAAAGAAAAAGATGCCCAAAAGTCTTCTAAAGTATAATTTGTGTTTGTTGCTTCCCTACTGACTTAATGTCATCTACTTCCTCTTTGTGATACATTTCCGCTGCTCTTTTCACGAGTCACCCTATATTTTCGGTGCTCTCCTGCAGCCCCTTAACCTTCCTCTCCCTCTGTTTCTGTTATTCATGAGCCGCAGGTTTCATTCAGTCCATATGTTCTGGTTGAGGCATGCTTACAGTCTCACACACACACACACACACACACACACAAACACTCCCATATTCATGAGCTTGTGTTCTCATTGTGTCCATATGCTGTCTCTGGTGTTGTGCTGCTGCTCTGCTGCTCACAGACTGGCCCTTTCACCGCGGCCTGGACACAAGACCCCAGCAGTCAACCCCCCCCTTCTGTCCTCCAACCAGGGTGCCCCCAATCAATTACCCAGCCATCATATACACACACACCCATATGAACACAAAGGCCCCCTCAGTCACAAAGCTACTGCTGCTGAGGCCCTCTTATTGGCCCCTGTGTGACTTTAGGGCCTCTCTGTTTAATAAGGTGTTATAATCAGACCACCAAGGGTCTGTGACACAGAGACCTACTCTCCATCCCTCAAACACACTGACTGAGCATGACAAGTGTGTGTGTGTGTGTGTGTGTGTGTGTGTGGAGAGAGAGAGAGAGAGATATGAGGATGAAGGGAACAGAGAGGAAACCCATCAATGAGAACAATGAGAGAATCGGTCCATTTGAGCAGACTTGTAAATTATGGTAAATTCTATGGGGCCTCTGTTAACTATTGTGAGGATGTTGAAGCCCTCCCTCTGCATTCAGACATGTCGAGCACATAAGAGACATAAACCACTTTCTGTTCTGCATCAAGAGAGTCGCACCAGAGGCTCGGAGAGGCTCGGAGGGGAAGTGGGGAAAGCTTGAGCCTGCAGAAGCGTATGTGTGTGTGTCGCCTTCGCTCGCATCTCAGCTATTGTAGTGCAGGTGTGGACAGAAGACAGAAGTAGCTCTGTGTGTCCTCAGAGGCCTCGGACACACGGGGCTCTATCTGCAGAGCCGATAAGACTCACAGCAACCACTGTGCCTGTTGGATCTGAGCAGCTCATTGATTTTTGCACAAAGACACACTGCATGTAAAGCTGTATTCTGCACGGCATTCATCATACGACAAACATATGCAATGTGCGATATTGCTCGATACCGTAATTCTGATCAAAAGTGCAATAAATAAACAAATATCAGAGGGTGCGTATTCATGTTTAAGGGACAGTTTGGATTTTTTGAAGTGGGGCCCAAAGAGCTGGACACGTTCATGATGCGTCACAGAGTAGTGCTAAATCAAAGTGGTTTACCGACGGAAAAGTAAAGCGCTGAAAAATTCAAAATGTAGTGTTCAGGTACATCATCGTTAGTTTTTTTGGTAATTTTTTTTGAATGACGTAGTAAAACTGAACCCGTCTGCAGCCATGTATTTAGCTTCTGTACCAGAACACACACAGGTTTCCCAATAAAGGTGCCGAGCTGACCTGCATCTCCTGTGGCTAACACACTTACTATTGACAGGTAGCTCATACAACCCCACTTTACAAAAAAAGAAAAAAAGGACTACCTCTTTAACTCAGTTTGTCTCTGTGCTGTTTTTTTCAGGTTTCACACAATAACTGTGTTTGCTACATGTTTCTCCTGAATCCAAAATAAATATATAAATCAGTATTTTCCCCCCACCACTTCATTGACAGCATTTAATCTGTGGGTAACTGATGGCTTGATAGCTTTAGTTTGATCCTAATGTGTTAAAATGATGTGAAATCGGTCTCCTGCATGCACAGTTCCTTCCAAATGTCCCGGCTGTAAAAGTAGACATGGTGGAGGGGTTTCAGTAACCCAACGCTTTGCAGATCACAGAGTGTATCCCAAACCAGAAAGACATTATCTCAGTGCATTTCCAGCACACTGAGAGTGTGGTTTGGTTTAATGTGGTTGCATGGTCTCCAGCATGGTTGTTGAACGCTCATCTGTTTACTTTTAACTTTGGTAGTTATGATTGACCCAGTTCGATTCTTCCAAATGGATTCTGATGTGTAGCTCTGGTTTGACATTTCTCTTTGCCTTTGTGTCCTGCAGGGTCGTTGTATTAGTTTCCAGCGGGTCAAAGATGCAGAGTCCACCTCAAACAACCGGCCTCCTCCTCCTCCTCCTCACACACATCTCTCTGATATATCACCTCCGTCGCCGCCTCCTCCACATGCCGAACAGCGACCCCTGGTCTCCAACTCTGTTCCCCGTACGAAGCCGCCGTCAAGAGGGCCCCGCACCACGCCCCCCGCCCGAGCACCCCCCTCCGTGACACAACCCCCTCCTGGTCCGCCTCCATCTCGTGTCCCTCCTGGACCTCCAGGACCACCGCCATCGCGACCCCCACCCAGGCTCTGATTAGGAGGAGAACACCTCAACACATCATGTCCTCCTTTAAGACTCAGACAGCAGAGAGAGACATCAAAATGTTGTGAGGCAGGAGCTCCGGCCTGGAGCTCTGTGCTTTGTTGCTGGACAGCAAAAAAATATTTATCTGATTTTAAAGTCAAACAGGAAACAGCATGTAGTCACCTGATGAAGCCTGTGTGTACAGTTAGATGTCGGTGTTTTGCAGAGGTAAGAGGAAGCGCAAACCTTTCTGGAGATGTATCCCAAAGGAATGAAATGTCAGCGAAAGTTAGATTGAGACAGTTTGTGTGTGAATGACAAATGTAAGTAAACGTTTACTTTGGGGGTAAGGAGGGAATCATGACTTTAAGGATAAGGGTGTGGTGAGAAATTCAGCCGTAAGTGAGAGATGAAAGCTGAATGTTGGTTCTGGTTTTTAGATATGTTAGGTTTCACACTGTTTCACCTTTTAAACCAAAGAAACTTTTTCTACATCCTTGTTAAATTTAGTGTATAACTACAGCAATCTTATTGTAACTGCAGGGCAGTTTCACTTTATACTTTATTTATTTCAGCACAAGCCCTTCCTGCATCTGTTCTTTATTTAGTATCAGCTGGGTTTCTTGTTGTTTTTTAAATCACTGCGGGAGGGGATTATCAAGGTTGATATGAGGGGGGGCTTCCTGGCATGGCTGATCAGATGTATTTGTGGTCCTAATGGCGCCTTCTAGTGGAGGTTTTTTTTTTTATTGAACTTTTGTATCTTCAGGGTTTTCTGTATTCTGCATTTACTGACTGAAATGATCATTTGCATTGTTTCTTTATTAACAACCTTTTTTTTGTCTTTTTTTCAATAAACAAAATGGGATTTTTTATGTGCTGTCTGCTGATGATTTCTGTTAATGTTATTAGGAGAGTCAAATGACGGTATTATAGTTCATGGTTTTGCACAGTCATAATGAGAAGTCACTTTGAACATATTGGGGTCAGTGCAGCAGAACCGTCGTGATATATATTCAGAAGTTAATTGGATGTTGCAGTTTTTTAACATCTCGGTGATATGTGTTGTGTCTCTTAAGTCATAGTTCTTAAATTAAGCTAATTAAAACCTCTGCTGCTGATAGGACACCGATAATCTGTCATTTAGATTTATAGAGGCAGTCTGCACATTTAACACTAAACTCAAATCTTTTTCAGCAGCTTTTAGGTTTATTAAAAGTCACATTTTTGGAACACTTCTCTGCTCTGATATCAATCTTTCCCCCCATTTGCTTCCCATTTAAACAAAATGTTCAGAAGTCCTGCGGTGAACTTCTAGTGTCTTTGTAAAGCATTCAAACCATAAGACTGTATATAAAGATGGACAACATGCCTCAACGCCTCAAGTTGTACAAAGATGAAGCCAGAATTCCTGCGTGATGAGCGCCGACATATTGTGCATTTGGAGTGTAGGCAGTAGCGTCATGCTGCTTCTGCTAGTGAAAGCAAACATTTAACTAACCAATAAAACATTGAAGATCTCTCAGGGTGGCACAGGGGAACAGTTTATCATGTTTATTTAATCGTAATTATATCACGTCTGCTGCTGACCTCTTAGTCAGGTGACCCTTGTCAGTTTGTTATGTTTCCCCTCTGCTTATCACACCGTTACACTAGTCAACAGAGCTGTCAATCACGGCAATTTCATACCTTTTTTTTGAGCATCAACCAACTAAAAACATGAACATAATAACGACTGTCACGACAGAACGAGGTTGGAGAAAAATGTATTTGACACGAGTTTGATTTCAGTGTTTGACCCATGTCTCATTTTTTATCACATCGAGGAGGCGGGATTAAAGACCTGTACTGCAGCCAGTCAGTAGGGGGAGCTCTAAATCATTTTTGCTTCACTTGAGGCAAGGTACTGTCACTCTTCTTACATTTCATTACCAAAAAATTATTTTACTTAATTTTACAGATTTTTGTGAGGAGCAAAAAAATTACTTTCTCTGTTTAAAACGTATGTAAAGTATGTATCAGATGAGGTGGTTTGGCCTCTTTCTGAAGCTACTTTATGTAATTTAAAACATGTTACAGATGATGATGATGTCTGGTCTGAGAACGCTCTGAGTCAGTCGGTGATTTTAACCATCCTTCTGAGAAAACGTTGACTGGCACACTGAACACACACACACACCAGAGTCCGATTAGGAGGTCAGTCTGCCACTACATGACTCATTTTGCTGCAATCCATCTGTGGGGATGAATCACATGTGGGTAATGGTACGTTAACTCATCCTGCACAACAACAACCTACAGCTTCTCTCTTTGCCTTTAAGGACAGAAACTTGGGGAAAAAAAAAAGATATTTTGAAAAATCTAATGGAGTCTTACATTTTTAGACCAAAAACAGCTTTACATTCTGTTTTAAATCATCTTAGATGCATTCATGAACACTTTCATTCACTGTTTATATGAAGGAAGTCTACAGCGCCCTCCGGTGACCAAACAACACAATAACAAAAGCAGATAATACTCTCTCAAAACCATCATGTTGTCGACCTACAGATTGCAATGTTCACACATAAATACATTTTTCATGAAAGGCAGAGAGACATCCAACACACACTGTCCCTCTCGACTGTCATGAAAGATGTAGCACCTCTAAAGCTTAGAAAGGTGGAGCAGTTTAAAAACAAACTGGCTTCACCTTCAATGACAGTCACTCTGAAACACACACAGACATATACACCCGTACGCAAGGTGTACATCTGCATCTTTGTATGTTTATACGCACACAACACATTTAAAGTCCATGGCATAGTACGAGGATGAGGATCTTCAGGCTTTCCTCTTTTTATGCATTTTCTTTCCAGACATCGCCCCCTTCTGGGCTCCCCTCACCATGCCCTTGAACTGGCCCTGCATTTTGGCACGCTTCCTGCAAACACACAAAGAATGCAACATGTTAAATTGATATTGTTAGACTTTTTAGCTTGTTTTAGAACAATTGAATTTATTTTTTATTTAATAGGGAATTTTATAGTTTTAATACAAAACATGAAACTGATGTGCTGCACAGACTTTATTATCATACGCTGAATGACTAAATGTTGCTCATACCTGCGATTGAGCTGCTCCTTCTTCAGGGGGATGTAAGCGTAAGGATCCAGCTTCCCTGTTTTCTTCACATCTCCTTTTCCTTTCTGAGATGAAAAAGAAGAAAAAAAAAAACTTGACAGTCAGGATAACGTTTCACCACCAGTAACCTCCTGCAGTGTGTCTCTGCGTCCTCACAGACTCACCTTTGACTTGTAGTCAGACCCGAAGTCGGGCCTTCCTCCCAGCGGCCTGTGGATACCTGAGCCTCCAGCTGAGAAGAAAAACAAACTGATGGTTAATTTCAAAGCTCTAACACATCCTTCCTAAAACTCCCAAGCTGTAATCTCAGGCTGAATCACTTTCTGATTTTCTGTGGATGTACGCGTCCTACCTTTATACTTCAGCTGTGGTTCAATATCCATGTCCTCATCCAAGTTGTCATCTCGGAACCTCCTTTTTTGGTCTTTTTCTAATAATTAAAAAAGAGGAAGTTATTTTTATTAAACAAGCAAGAAATGTGTCAACAAAAAGAACAATCTGAGCCCCATACTGAAGTACTCACACTCTTGACTCCAGCCTCTTCTAGTATGTCTTTAATATCGCCATCATCTGTTGGACAAGTTAACAGGTTAATGTCACGGCCTGCTCGCACAGAAAACAAAGTACTGAACCAAACTAAGAAAGGACACCATGGCCACACAGGGTCTTCTTTTAGGGCGTCCTGATGAAGACCCTACATGGTCAGCGTGTGTTTCTGATTTTTTTAAGAGGTATGTCCTGATTGGTTAAAGGCATGTGTGTCTGAAGATAGAGCAGTGGCTTCCCTTCCTAGACAATGCACTGGACAGCAATGAAAGAGTCCTCTTACCTTTATCTTTAACATCCTCCTCATCCTCCTCTCTGATGATCAGCCGTCCGTCTGACGTCACCTTGAAGCCGTGCTCTACCTTGGCGCTCCTCTTCCTCGCTGGGTTTGTGGCTAAAAACAACAGAAACCACGTTAAACAAAAATCTAAATGTTTCCTATTATTTTTATTTTTTATAAAAGATTCTTTCTGAATATAAATAAATCAATAAAACGTCTATCTCTTACCTAGAACTCTCTGGGAAACTTTAGGATCCAGGAAGTTAAGTGGGTCATCCTCCTCTCCCTCTTTGAGCCAGGCCCGTCCTTTCTGCTGTTTGCCTCCTTTCTTCTGAGCCTTTCCAGGCTTCCCTTCATCCTCTGACATATCGCTGTCCAACTCTGCAAGGATCTCCTCAATACTAAAGAGAAAAGAGGATATGAGGTCTTTTTAAGTAGTGTATGAGATCAAAGACAGGACTTCATGTGGGGAACTGACAGCTACCTTTTGCTCTTTGCTTTAGGTGTCTCCTCTTCGCTCTCCGAGTCCTCCTGCTGCTCTGAGGCCTGTTTCCGTCTCATGGTGCGCGCCTCGGCCTTGCGGATGTTTGCAAGAACCTTGTGGTGTTCTGCGGGCAGCATACTCTTCACCAGCTCAAAACTGGAAACACAGGAGAGTATGAGACACACATGGTACCTGCTTTCTGTTTTTTTACTGCATTGCTGTGTTCTTTTCTTTCTGGTTTTACTATTTGTATCTTCTTTTACTTCTTACTGTCCTTTTATTTATGCTCTTATCTTAACTCCTCTTATGTTTTAACTTGGTAATTTTTTATCTTACTTAGTCTATTAATGTTTTATATTTACTTTTTATTTTTATTAACCACTAGTTTCTATTTCTTTTACAGCTCTTACCTTCTTATTGCTGTTATCTTTTTATTTGCTTTTAGCTCTTTATATGTCTGTTGGGTATCGTGCACTATGGGTTCTTTTCTGTTGAATTGTATTTAATTATTTTTAGTATTTTGCATTTGTTTGTTCTTGCTGTTGTTTATGTTCTTCTGTGTTTGGTTTAGTTTGCTTTGTTCTTGTTTTTGCTGTTTTGTCAAAGCACTTTGTAAAGCTGTGTTTTTAAAAGGTGCTATATAAATAAAGTTATTATTATTATTATTATTATTATTCTTTCTTTGCACAAAAAAACCCAAAACAAGCTCCTCTTATGTGTGAACGTGGAGGAAATAAACGCAGACTCTGACATGTCGCTATATTCGTTAAAGGGCAGAATTTTAAAAAAAAGCTGAAGAGCAAACTAAGTGAGGTGAATGCAGGCCATACCTAAAAATAAAGTATGAATATAGCTCTAACAAAAAGAGAAGTCAGCTGTGTTCAAATGATGAAATGATGCCATCTTTAAACGAAGACTTCTTTAGTTCATGTCAGTCAATGATTTCCAGGCTAACATTGGGTTTGATAGCATCTTTAAATAATTCTCCCAGACAATGATCTAATCTTCCCTGCTTACAGCGGGTTTGGTGAAATGGCTGCAAACTAACAGCAATAACAACCAGGCTCCATTAAGAGTCCAAAACATTTAAAAACACAAGTTCATGACTTGATGCACAGCAATACTACTTCATATATCGACTGCTGTGAACACACGAGAAGCAGACTTATCATTTCATCTTGTATCTACCCAGCTGCAGCGTTTACAGGCATTAAAGATAACTTTATAGAAACAATCTACTCTCTGATGGTCTTGTAGGCTTTTTGTGGCTCACAAAGAGTCCTCTTCAGTCAGTTTCACAAGCTGCTAAAACTCTTCAGAGGAGCTTCTAGCATCACCATCTCTCCCTCAGAGCCAAAAGCTAGGTTCAATACTTCCATGATGCTGCTTATAGTATCTTAAAAGATATTAGCATTGGGGCAGGTGTCTTATATACAGAGGTTCTAGTCCTGAATGCATCGGCTGCTGGTTCAGTTCCTGGCCTCGACCCTGTGACGCATGTCTACAAGACTCTTTTCTTCAAACAGCTCCTGCTTCTCTTCAGTTTTCTTATCAATAAAGGCACAAAAAATAACCTTAAAAAAAAGAAGGTATTGGCACATACCCAAACTTTTTGATGAACTTGGTGAAGATGTTCTTGAGTTTGGTTCTGAAGTGTCTCCTCACGTCGTCTTTGATGCTCCCAACACCTTCCATCTGAACACAACACAGAGTTAATTCTGTACAAAAATCAGGGACATAACCGTCTCTCGCCGTGGACTTTGACTATCTTTGTTCCTCTGCCTACCATGACAGTGGCGTGTGATGCCAGCGTCTTGGGGTCCATGATGAAGAGGAGGACCTTGATGAAGCCTAAGGCGGCCTTGACGATCTCTCTGGTTCGAGAGGAGAGCAGCAGACACACGTTGTGCAGCAGCTGCTCTGTGGTGCTCAACTCAATGGCCTCTGAGTTAGAAAAAAAAGAGGCTAGTGTGAGTCATGCATTCAGAACACTGACAGTATGAAGCTGGAAGTCAGGAGACCTACCTTTGTATTCAAACACCAGACGAGTTAGAGCCAACACTGTGCAGGTGATCATGGTGACGGAGCCTGTGAGTCCTGCATACACCAGTATCAAAAACTGCTCCATGGCATCTGGGTCAGACAGAGGTTTCAGTTAGCTGCTTCACAACTGCTTGAATGATGTTTTCCTAATGATTTGATAGTATCTCATATTTGCTGCAAGACTGCCCATTCCATTACCATAAAACTTTCTTAGAAAACCCAACAAAAGCAGTGCTTGAAGCTCCTGGGACACATTTTGAAATTGTGTTGGTTTGGTTCCCCCGTAAACAAAGCAGGACAATTTATTTCTTTAAAAAATGTCGTGCTGTACATTTCTCAGTACTGTCTCCAATGAAAAATATTGTCCAGCTGTCTGCTAACAGTCAAACATAACTAGCTGTCTAGCTGTGAAAAAAGGTATGTTTTGGCAGGGTGCTATATAGGAATTGTGCGTTTAGTTCACTTAATGGTTGAACTTCATCACCCTCACTAGTCTGCACCAGTCTGTCACTAGTTGGTGATACGACTTTTTTATATTTTGGCCCTTGGTGTCAGTCAGATGTTACACTCAAACTGTGACACATCCTCTCACCACTAGCCAAAGCTGTAGCCAAAGAGCAGCTGTAGCTCCAGTTAAAGTGCCCGCTCTACTACCTGCATGTAAACAAGCTAAAAGACCGGAGAGCGTCTCGTAGGAGCAGCGCGGTTTTGGCTGCGTTTGATCTAAAAAACTGAGATAAAAATGTATGTAGGGTAGGCAAACCAAGTTACATTGTTTACCTGCAGATAATTTAAAAATAAACTTTGCTCTATTTTGACTGTTTTCTGAGATTTTATGAGGAAATAAGACCCTACGAGTCAACAAGTCTGACTCCTAACCAGCTAAAATCTTCTAACAGTAGTTTTAAACCAAGAAGTAAGTAGTTTCTTCAACTGTGACTAACTTCTCAATTACTCAAATTAATTTTTTTGTATACAACACATTTTATAGTAGAGAAGTGTGTTACCCTTTTTGTTTCCACAGAAGCGGACAAATGCGTTTCCTATTTCCACCAGCAGGGTGTAAGCGTTCTTACGAGCTCCCACAGACACCTCCTTTGTGCATATGATCACCTGAAACAGAAAACAATGTCATGAAAATGATACTTATCTCTGTGTTTGAATGTTAACCGACTCGTCTGTGTTTGTACCTCTGGCAGCAGAGCAGTGATGAAGTCTTTGTGCTCCTCGTTGAGCCTTTTCACGATGTGGATCAGACACTTCAGTCTGGGCTGAGAAGACACAATATAAACAGAGCGATACAATCAGACTGAGCTGTAAAACAAGGTACACGATCCCATCGAGTGTCTGGTTCATTTGAAGTCGTCTCCATGCTGCAGTCTCACCCGTTTGGCAGGTGAAGAGGCGTTCTTCAGAGTCTCCAGCAGGACCACTTTTAGAGTTTCCAGATTGTTAACGACAAACGACCTGCAATGTTCTCTCTCTCCTCCGCACATCTCCTCCAGCACGCGGTATGCCTTCTTCTGCATGCCTGGTTCTTTGGTCTTGAAACAAACAGAAATAAAAAGAAACATAAACACCAATCGCTCTGGAATAAAAAAAAACTGGGTATGGTGTCAGGCACACTGTGTCTGCTTGTGTACAATTTGAAATGAAAAGGCTAAAATCTAAGTAATCACTTGAGGAGACCCCGAGTGGGCCTCCTTCTTCTCAATCAAATCTGCATTTCTGTGTTGGGGTTCCAACAGAGATAAATATACTAATACATGCTGATGCAGGAGGTAAGAAAATAAAGGAACCAATAGTCAAAATGTCTTTCTTCATAGCCATGGTCAATAATATTGCGTCTAATAACACCCTGCTATGAACACTTACCTCCAGATATGGCCTGATCAGCTCAAATGTTTTCGTCATGGTCACCTCATCTACCAAGGGAGCCATGGCAACCACAAGGTCCATCATCGCCAGCCTGAGGAAAAGAAAAAGAGCCACATCAAATAAAGACAGAGAGTTCGTTTTTTTTTTTTACTATCCTACATGTATCTGATATTAATGTTAAAATAGAGAGTTTTATGTCCTACCGCGTGGACTCATTTGTCTCCGTGCTGCTCAGTCTGTCCGTGGCTTTTTGCAGGAATGTGCAGATCATCTGATTGTGATGACAGGTGAGACATCAGCACAAAAATCACAGCAAATAAGACGGACCTCCTCTCAGATAATGATTAGTTCTACATCAAAGTGAGGTAAAGTGCTGCAGCAGAAGCTGAACTGACCTCTGTTTCTGTGACTGTTAAGTACACCTTGATGGTGTCGAGGACCGCCATCCTGTTGGTGGCGGGCTCGCCTGCTGCAGGCGGCTGGCTGTACACGTTGAAAAAGATGGGCAGGAAGTTCTTCGAGAAGCGGCCCACCTCTGCCTTTTCTTCTTCTACAGAAATCAAACAGACATTGATAAGAGGGTAAGAAGATGTGGAAGCTTTTTTGAATATTCTCTCATTCCCTATGAGTAACTTCTTACCAGTGGAGCAGCCCTTGTTGATGACTGTGCGTACGGCCTGACACACTGTCAGCTTCAGGTCTGGCCTTTCATTAATAGCCATACCGAGTACCCGGGCGATGCTTTTAAAGGATGTCAGCAGGTCCACAGGAGACGTACAGAAGCCAGGGAGCATGGTCCAGATCTGAAAGGAAAAACAAAAATGTATTCATTTCAACTTTTTACCCTGAATACATCAAAGCCCTTTTATCTCAAATATGCACAAAACTCGATGATCTGAAGAAGGCTGAAGAAGTGAGGTCAGTGTAGAGCTACCTGTAGCTGTAACGTCTGATAGACTTTGGCCTCAAGTTTCTGTCCAGCCTGCTCCAATTCTTCAGCTGCAACACACAAAAAGAGACAGAAACACATTAAAATAACATCCAGTGGGGCGCCATGTGGGGAGGTGGTGTCTTCCGAGCGGGCGGCCCGGGTTCGAATCCGGCCTGTGGCACCTTTCCCACGTCATTCCCCACTCTCTCTCCCTGATTTCTGACTCTATCCTCGGTCCTGTCTCTCCATTAAAAGGCACAAAAAGCCCAAAAATAAATCTTAAAATAATTTTAAAAAAATCACATTCAGCAGCAAATCCTACGACCCTAAAGTGAAGTAGTATACCACACTCTCTTTACCTCTCTGCTTGAGTGTAGAAGCCAGAGGGAGGAAATAGGAAGAGAAGAAACCGAGGTGCGTCTTCTTCACGTGATCACGAATCACCGGGATCAGCCAGCTGCGAGGGAACTCCAAGTCATCACTGGTGGAAACAGAAACATACAGTTAGTTAAACTTCTATAATGACAAGCAAGACGGCTCCACAGTGTTTGTTTGTGTCATTAACACTTACTCGTAGCCGGTGATGTTGAGAGGAACAGCGCCTAGCACCACCTCTGGCCCCATGGTCTCCACAGCGCCCCCTACAGCCAGGTCCAGCTCTCCACTGAAGGGGAACTGAGGGGTGGAGCGCAGGTCTGCCAGAGACTGCAGGGACTGTGAAGGGACAAAGAAAGAATAAGAGAACCTGCTTCAGCTGTCTTCACTCATGGTGATGTACTAATCTCTCTGACTTTACCTTTGTCATGATGGGGTGAGCTTGTTTCCCTGCTGCTCGTAAAAGCTGCCCAGTATCTGCAGCACAAAAGGCCAAGAGGCATGGAAACGATAGGACAATCCTTCCTCTACGATGCTGGAACAAACACACACATGGACATAATCAGCTTCACGAGCATTTACATGAAGGCTCTTAAAATATGAGGTTCCTTTTCTTTCATTATTATGCAAACAGGTTTAACAGTGAAACGTTACACACTAATTTAGAAAACAGATTTGAGAGCAAAGCTATCAACGCTGATATTCCATTCCAACAAAAGGAATAACTGCATTACTGACACCTGTCTTTAAGATGTTAAAGATTTGCTTTTTGACCCAAAAATATTTATACTGTTGACACGGATGATGTAAAGGTGTTGATCTAAATAAGAATCGCCAAAGTGTCATGGGGAAACTTCTAAACACTTTTGGAGCCAAACATCTGGATTAGCAATCAAGCAATTTTCTTTTGGTTTGCATAAATACATTATTATTTCATTAAGTGTCAATAGACCTTTGCAGAGTTGCCTTTCCAAAACGGCATGATAGCAATCTGTCTTGTGAACTCACGATGAACTAAGCAGTTGCAGAGCACCACAAATAGAGGAACAGTAAGAGCTCCACAAACACACACACATCCACACACACACAGTACTGTTCTTTAACACTAGGAATCACTTCCGTCCCTCCATTACCCCTCTGTGACATTCACAGAGAAGGCAACACATCACAGGGGTGTAAATCTCCCACCTTGAACAGGCAGAACACAGCTTGTGGTTCCGCTCTCATTGCTGTTTGTTTTTTTTCATGCTTAGAGTTTTGATTTCATTATGAGTGTGTCTCACTAAAAGTCCTTTAAGGGACTTCATGCATAAAGAAAAAAGGAAAAGGACTGAGACTTGTTGGTGTCTACTTACCGAAACATTTTGCAGACGTAGGAAGGGTTTCCTGTAGATACTGAAGCTGTGATTGTTCCCATTTCCCCCATGTGAGGGGCAACACATTCAGCCAACAAAGTCTGAAACAGAAATAAATCACAAATCAGAACCCTACATACACCGTGAAAAAGAAAAAAAAACATAAACTCTTCAGTGAAGCATTTCTGAGCTGATGTATGCGATTAGCAGGTTTTGCAGTTTTGTCCTGCATCTTAAAAGATTTGATTACAATCCAGACAAACTTTTAGCCTGACTCACTCGAGTGTAAACTCCATGAAGACTTTACCTTTAGTGTGCCAGCGGCTGCAGAAACCACCTGTGTGTGAGGCGACAGCAGGCAGGACATGGCAGAAGAGAAGAGGCGAGGGAGGTGACCCAAACTCAAAGAACTCTGCAGACTAAACAAAGACAGAACAAAAATGAGGGAATCTGGCAAAAAAAAACAAAAACAAAAAAAACATGCAATGACACGTTTATAAGAAAGGATCGGCCGTGCTGTTTGCGTTACCTTGCCAAGTGAACGTGTGCTTTCTCCATGACGGTGAGCCAGGCCAGCAGAGGCTGCAGGTCGTTCTCACTGGGCAGGTAGTCGTACAGAGCCTGAGGAGGAGAAATGACCTTTAGGCTTTCACGCTGCATTTGTATAATCTGGCTCAGTTTGCTTTGTTCTGTATTTGCTCACCGTGATGATCTGTGCGTTGAGTTCTGGGGAGAGGGTTGAAGCGTTTGGCTTCCCACTGAACAGTCGGTGAAAGGCCTGCATGGCGCTCGCCGTCACCAGCTAGACCGGAACACAGAAACCGTGTTAAGAGTATTTTAAAGTATCCAAGTGGATAAACAAATCGCAGATAAACAAGTTCTGTGTTCTCACCACGTGGCTGAGCGTCATCACTCGCAGCAGAGTCTCACAGCACGACTTGACCGCTCCCAAAGGAAACGACCCCCATCAGCTCCTTCAGGAGACCCAGCACATGCAGGGTGGTGGTGTCCTCTTTGCTGCCTGAGGAGGAAAGTGGGGAACATTTATACGAATAGCTTTACAGTAGAGATTCACAAAATCCATCATCTTCATCGCAGAATGAAAGAAATACAGTTTCTATGAAGGTGTGTTCGTTCATAAAGTATTTAAGCGATCATATCGTCCTACCTCCCGCCTGCTCCATTTCCTTGATGCAGAACTTGGCCGTTGTCATGGCAGCAGGGTGATGGGTCGGAGCGTTATCTTTAAACAGGAAGTCACTTCCTCTGAGAATGGCACAAACACCCTGCTGTGCTGCTCTACGGACCTGAACAGGAAAAGAGCAGGCAAAATATGTAACTATAGTACAATGTTAGCCAAACAGTCAATGTTGAAATCATTCTGTCGTATTCAAATGTTTGGGGGTCACAGCTGGTTTTTATTTTGCAGTTTTTGATTAAACGTTGTTGAAGTTTTTTCAGCACGTCTGCATTTAATGCTCTCCTTTGCATGTTTTTTTCATATACAGCACGTTTCCATTGTTGCATTGTCTTTAAACTTTTGCATCATTTCTGAATTTGCAGCAGGTTTTTCCTAATGTAAATCAGTTCAGCTGTTGCAGTTGAGTTGCTCTTGCCACCGTAGAAAGTGATCAAGGATATGCAGGACAAGCCTTCCTTTTCTGTGCACTCATTATTGTTTAGTGTCCATCGAGCAACTTCACAATGTGATCTGTCTTTTTTTACTCTCCAAATGGACTGACTGCATGCGTACAATGCCAGCTGACATCACACTTGATCAATAATGCTTAGACAACAGACAGAAACCAGAACGCTCCAGACACCATAAAAAAAAAAGCATGTGGCTCGCCTACAGGTTTATGCATTCATATGCAGCTATCTGTATAAAGACTTTAGTATCTGGTCCCTGAGACAGACCTTAGGTTTGCTGTGTACAGTGAAGCTGAGAAGGCCGTGGTAAGCCTGAAGAGTAGTCGGGTACGTCCACACTGACGCATCCTGCTTCCTTAATAAAGTAGCCAGACATGACAGGACCTATACATGTGACAAAGGAAGCAAAAAAGTAAAAGTCAGGTGTGCAGTTGTCATCAATGAATATGAAGAGACAAATAAAACCTACTCACCCATCTGAGAGCGGAGGCCGTCTCAGACGTCGCCTGTCCAGACATGACGTCCATCAGAGCCTTTGTGGTGTCGGAAAACTTAGACATGAGCACTGGAGCAGGAACACTAAGGAACAGAAAACACCACCAGGTGAGAAACAAAACAGGCTCGACTTTTTTTTTTGAAGGGTTTTAATGGGGAAAAAAAAGGCTTCGAGGTCGAACCGTTTCATGACGAGGTTGAGGAGGTACGCCACGGCGGCCTGCGACTCTGCTGAATCCACAACTTCCAGGGTGGTCATCTACAAAAATGGCAAACGTGCATCATTTGACACCTTAGGATAACTTTTAAACTCGTCTTTACGACCATATGTGAAAAAGGCTTAACTCACCAAAGCTGCAAAGTACTCTGTTTCTGTCTCCTTCCCTCCTTGGCTTCGGATCACCTCAGTAACAGCTGCTAACACTGCACAGATCTAAGAGGCAAATCATGTAAGGAAGATGCTGAATATACAGTTATACATTCGATATTAAGCGTTAGGTTTTTTTTTTTTTTTTTTTTGTGGTTGTAGAGAATGAACGATCGTTGTCGGTGCCTACCTCTTTGTGAGCAGCTGAATTGGACTCCCAGTAGCGCTGCACCTTTCTGAACGTCAGGTTGGAGCAGTCCGACAGGCCGCTGAGGAAGGTGCCGGAGGTCCTGTCTGAAAACGCCTCATCCGGCTCCTCTTCCATGCGGGCATCTTTACGGCTACTGAGCTCCAGCGGGCCCGTCTGCAGCTCATTGTGCAGCTTCAGAGCATCGACTGTTAGGTCGCTCTTATCTATAGGGGGAGGGGACATATGACAGTTTTGTTCAGAATGCTTATAATAGCAATGATAACATAATGTACTGTATCCATATACATACATACATTTATATAATAAACACATGTAATTAAGGTTACACAGCTGCTCCTATTAAACCACATGATCTTAAAGAGTACTATGCATCAGCATTATTCCCATTCATTATCCCAGTAACAGTAATGAAATATGCTATGAATGACTGAGCTCAGCCTTTTCCCCCTCATGATGCATTTAGTCTTTTAAAGTTTTCATGATAATATCTGTCTCTCCATACTGTCATCTGTTCTGCACATGTTTAAATTTACAAATTATCCCTGCACTCATGTTCACTTCATTTGTCTGTCTACTCACCGTTATATTGTATAGTTTCTGCTTATAATATGTCGACACTCATGCACTTTAACTTATGTCAATACTGTCCATTTACGACTCTGTTTTTGCACATTTACATTTAATCTTCCATATTTAATCTTCCTATTTAAGACTAGTAATGCTTAGTTAAATCCTGGTTGTAAATATTCACATTCTTAGTTTTGATATTTTAGTACTTATTTACTTTGTATTTAATATTATTATTTACTTATGTATTTTATATTGTGTTTAGATTTGCTAACATTGTGTTTTTTACTCATTGTGTGTTGGATAACCTGCTGCTGTAACGCCACAATTTCCCAGTTTGGGATCAATAAAGTAATTCTATTCTATTCCATTGTATTTAGATGGAACATGACATCCTTCATCCATCAGACATATTTCAATTTGTTTATTGTTTATGTTTGCATTGGTATGTGCTTCTCTGTTTACATGTCGACTGAGTTTGTTTCTATTGTTTTAATGTATAAATTCTTCTATGCAGGCAGCTGATTGTATGCAGCACTTTGAGTCCAAGACACATTTCCTCAAGGGGACGATTAAGTGTATCGTATCGTATCGTATCGTATCGTATCGTACAGGGACTGCACAACTAAAAGTGTCTCTCTGGTCAGATACATTACAAAAAAAAAAGGTACTACAGCTTTATGATGAATTATTTCCATGTCAGGATATGAGAAACATCTGACAGCTGTCTCGATTTAATGACATATAACTTTATAGAGTCAAGCAGCCACTAGTCAAAGTTAGTTGTTGTCATTTCAAATAAAGACTTAACATGAGTGATAAGTGATCTTATGTGTCCAAAGGGGACAGAAATCACGATATAAAGTTGTCTTTTCTGCTGACATCTTCAATGACATTGCTGACAACATTAAATGATGCAGCACATAGAGTAAGCTCTGGTTAAATGGCTGACTGGAGCTAATGCTAACAGTAGCCAGAGACCCACGTGTGACGGGAAACTCACCGGAGGGTCTGCTGAAGTATCGGCTTTTAGCAGCCTGTCGGAAACGACTCGTCTGCGGGTTGGAGTCGCTGCTGTGTCCTTTCTTCCACCGTTTCAGTTTCGACCCTGTCCCGGAGCGAAGTTTCCCAGATTTGACCATTTTCAGGGGCTGAAAATAATCACGCTACTCCACCACAACAGTCCAGCTGCGGCTCCAGATGATGACGCCGTCGCTCGCAAATGTCGTCACAACTGTAGCCACGTGGTTGAGCTTTATGTTATTTGGCCAGAAGATGGCGCTGTTCTACACCAAAAAAAAAACACAACAATAATAATTAGTAGCAAGAAGTACAAATTCATGTATAATTCCATCTATTGTGCATGTATTTAATTGAATTTATTACCTGTTACACATTTCCAATTTATGATATTCTTTCGGGGCTGCAGCAGGGACTTGGGATGAGAACCAGAGGGTCGCCGGTTCAAATCCCAATGTGGACCATAATATGAAAGTCGGTCTGGTAGCTGGAGAGGCGCCAGGGCAGCTCCTGAGTACTGCCGAGGTTCCCTTTAGCAAGGCACCAAGCCCCAAACAGCTCTGGTGTAGCAGTGTGTGCCCAACTCTGACATCTCTCCACTAATACATGTGTGTGTAATGTGTGTGAGAAGCATGTCTCTCAATAACAGTCTAAACCAGAATTTCCTTCAGGGATTAATAGAGTATGTCAAATTAAATTATAGTAGGATATTATCTGTATACAGTGGGGGTTTCAATCTTTCTGGCTTTTGACCCCTGAAAGTAGAGGTGTCATGTCGGGGGCAGGATTTGAACATTAATAAATAAATAAATAAATAAATCTTTATTTGTATAACAGCAGTTCACAGCTCATAATAAAGAAAACTTACATTTTCACTTGCTCTGCAACACCTGAAACGTTTTACATTAACCTGTCTGTCCACATCAGGGACTAGTAAAGTATAAACATTTTCACAATTTTCAAACTTATTAGCTCATCGTGTTAAGTATGGGCCGTATTCTCCCTTCATGTTTAGAGAGGATATTCCACTTGGAAAAGCCAAAAATAAAAAACCAGAAAATGGAAATTAGCATGTTTTCATTCATTTCAGATTTTTAAGTGACTTAGACTTAGACTTAGACTTTCTTTATTGTCATTCAAACTTGTACTTTACAGTGCAGATAAGAACGAAATTTCATTGCATTTGGCCCGTTGTAGTGCAGGATAAAAACAGCAGCATGTATTTACATATAAAAAATAAAAAATAAAAATAAGGTGCAGATAAAAATAAGGTGCAGGTGAGCAACCAAGAACGTGTAAAGAACTGGAAGAAGCCAACAAGTGTAACTGGATTTGGGTATCACTTCTTTATATTCTACGTGTGATATATAGTTTATCCCTGATAGAGTTCATTGTTATGTACCATAATGTAATCTGATTTCAAACCTTTATGAGAAAAGTAGTTACCAGTTTCTTTGTTTTCTTGTGACTCCTTAAATTCTTCTTTAATCCCTTCATCACAAGTTACTGCCAGAGCTCATGAGCTGTGAAACGTAGACCTCATTTTCCCTCCAGAGATTGCATACTTTGAAGGATTTGTAGGAGCTTGAGAATTTGTAAGTAACCTTTAATTTCAGTTGAAAAGGCCTAAAAAAAAAAAAAGTAGGGTAAGCGATTAACGGTGGGATCCCTGAGGAGGCCCAGAACACTCTGGATGGGAACCGTTCCTAAACGATAAATTCAGCTTTAACATTTTGTTGAGACTTGTGTCGCTAAGAACCAAACAATTGGAGACAGACTTTAAATTCACAATATTTAATGATCATTTATTCAAGTACAGTGAGCATCATATTGTACATACAACTACATGAACTGGGCTGGAGTGATGAAATAAAAAGAACAGGTTCGATCGTCTCCTATGACCTTTTAGAAAGGTGCCGTCGTTACATTCTGTGTCTTTGTTATGAATATACAGCTGTGGATAGAAACTGTAGAGTGAAGTGAACACAGATATATATATATATATATATATATGACCAAAAAACACAAAGAAGAAACTGATATTTACAGTTTTCTTTCGACTGTACCACCCTACTTCTGAAATGGCATGACAGAAATCTTCAAAAGAAAGAGAATGAATAAAGAGAGATTGGATGTTCCTTACTCAGATCCCCATATTAATTATATTTTGTTTATTAATTCAGCACAAGGACACACACACATGACAATGAGAGGGACCAGTGTAAACAATAGAGCTGTGAGTGGATGTCCACACAAAACAGGAGGACAGCAGGACGCATGGACAGACACTCGGATGTGCATCTCAGGACTCTACTTCTACTCTAAAGTGTTTTCAGTGCTTTTCAATTTTCTTACTTCGCTTGGAAAGAGGAAAAAATACAAAAAGGAGCAATATAAAAGCAATAAGTTCTTATATAAAAATGTACACAAAATTCCACTGCAGTACCAACCGGAAAGTGATTTCAAACCCTACTCCTAATCCTGGCACGTCTTTTAATAATCCTCAGTCCTCAGTTAGCTATAACTGAAGGGTTCGTGTTGACGATCACTTGGACAACATAGTCCTTCTGGATCTTGGCGTCTTGCAGGCGAGTCCTGTCGGTCAGGAGCTTCCCGGAGAAGAACCACCTCTGGCGGGTCACGTCGATTTCTTCCTGCTCCTCTAATTGTTTCTTTAGCTCGGCGATGGAGTCGGCCATGCTGGCTGTCAGACGCACATCCTTCCCTGAGAAAAAAAAAACAGCGAGGAATAAATAGAGTTGACACAGATTTCTGAACACGCTGTGAGAGACTGAAAGCCCTGAATTATAAATACGCCTCCAGCCTGGAAGAGACGTGGCGCTACAAAGTGTTTGAAATGTCAGCTGCACGGGGAAAGCTGCAGAACATGGAGTTACTCAGATTGCTTGTAAAACAACATGATTCTTCAAGTGCACATTTGACGACACTGCGCATCACATCAACAGCTCGGTCTACCTCACTGTATAGTATGTTTATATTATAATGTATTCTAATACTTTCCAATTGACAATTTAACTTTCCATTTTTGTATACATATCTATAGTCTAGAGTTAGTTTACATATATATATATTTTTTATTTTTTTGGATAAGTTGCTGCTGCTGCAACACCCTTATTTTCCAATTTCAGTTCTCTTTCTATATTTCAGTTTGTCCATCCATCCATCATAGGGGTGGTACAAAATACCAATACGGCAATATAAAGTCGCCTGACTCATGTGATATAATTATAGACTAGCTGGTTCAAAATAACCAGATTTTGATTCTGAAAAATGACAGCGCGCTAAACAGATCGAATGACATGAGTGATGGTAAAGTAATTGGAGGTTTAATCGGTCCAAGAAAAAGTTGACAGCAGGATAATGTCAGACACAGTGAAAGGAACTTAAAGGATGCAGCGTGATAAGAGGTGAAGCTCCCTTGATGATGTGAACATTTTCATGTTGTTTTTCTTGAGATCTTATTCATCTTGTTATCTCTGGAAACGACTCTGGTTTCACTGTGGTTCACTTTCGCTGATTTTTTCAAGATCTAAAGAAATGACCTCATCACAGGGTTGTTATCCCAACATGTCGAGGTAAATAAGTCAAGATCTGAAGAAATGACCAGAATCAACTCGTCATAAGGGGAAAACGGATGAAAAGCGTTATGTTTGGGTGTCTCTTCAGGGCTTCAGCAGAAACTGAAAACTACCTGATGAGAAGCAATACATGAATCCTGCACTTCACCTTCACATGTGCATTTTGTATTCTTTATCGAGTCAGATATCAGGATGATTCATTATATAGTTGTCTTGTAAATGGGGATGTCATCGTTATCGATGGGCCATGTTTAATGCGTCATGCATCGCGTCACGCCTTGCGACGGTCGTTTCATATCGTATTGTTTTGAGAGTTACCCTGCGATTCCCAACCCAGACTGTGAGTTTCTTACCTGATGACAATCGAACCCGCAGCTGGAATTCTTGCCTGCACAGAGGGGGTTGATTTTGTTTCTGTGTGGAGTCGGACACTTTGCAGTCAGTGGACGTTTCACTGATAAGGTTGACAGGCGGGGCTAAAGTGTAGGCGGGCAGCTGGTAGCGGTTTCCCAGTTCATCATAACTTTCTGTGAGAGAGCCTGGGAAGAGGAAAAAAATGGCTGACATTAACAACAGCTGTCAGAAGCTGCTCTTAACTCTGATATATGAACCCACTCGCTTCTTCATCAGTAAAGTAGGACAAGTATGAGGTTATCTTCTGTACATTACATCACAGGTGTAGCAACAACCCCGTGTCCTTGAACTAGAAAAACAGGTAAAAAGAAAAATCCCTCCTGTGTGTGAGCAGATAAATATGCGTGAGGGAGACATCAAACTCTGTCATGTCTTTCTGTGAACCAATCCATTCACAGTGGTCACGCAGCACTGCGACTATTATGTAACCATTACAGCAGTAATCTCTGCACAACTGATGCAGGGGATTCTGCAAAGCGGCCTTTGACATTTGGACAGTGAGTTTTTATTTTACATTTGTGCTTCAAGTTCCAGGACATTTACAGCTTACAAAGAGATCTGGATGAAGCACATTTTCATATCATCTGTTTGTTACCGGTTGCCCGTAGGGGGGGGGGGGTTCGTACCATGAGGAAGAGTAATGCAGGCTCCATCCACTATAGCCTGCGCTAGCTCCAGGTCATTGCACTCTGCTGCCAGGGCGGCTGCTCTGAGTGCGTCCCAGATCTCTTTCCGTCCGTCAAAGGCCGGGGCCGTGTCCCAAAACTCATCCCTCTTGCTCCTCAGTTGGCCCTCCGTCATCGGGTACTCACTCTTCCACTTTGGTCGCTCCTTCTTGAGGGGCTCGTTGCGTCCTGAAAGGATAAAGAAGACTGTGTTCAATCAGATCTAAAGAATACAAGCCAATATAATCGCAGCTTCACACTCATCCAACTCATGCAAACAACTTTCTGTTCTTAAAAAGGTGCAAGGAAATACATTTGTTGCAAGTTTCACATTTATTTCCATCCTAGTGACATAATGGCTGCAGCTAAAAACAGCTACTATTGAAGGGATTATTGGGCAGCGATAGCAGCTATCTGGTAGTGAAGCACTGCCAGGTAAGCTCAGGTCCCTGAGCTTTTTACCATGACATCACTTACCAGTGTTAGGAAATATTATGTAATTCA